ACGAATCCCAGAGCGGAATTCCCCTCGGGGATTTTTGATAACTCCGACTGCATCCATAAATGTCATACGATTCGTGATCACACGGTAACCTTTCGTACATTCACCAGATACGTGGCCAAAGAAAAAAAAATAATAATCAGATTATGCGCATATAAGCTATGCAATACTTACGAGGGTTCGATACATTTGGGCCAGTTATCCTCACGTTGGTCTTCGTTCTGGTTCACTCTGCTTCCCGTCCGGAAAAATAGGTGTTTTTTTTCTTCTACACCAAGACACGTGAAACCCAGTTGCGTAACTTAATTTTCATATGAATAATGTTTCGAGATTTTTTTCTTCAAGAATTTGGAAGGAGAGCATGAATATAAGACGGATTGGGAGTTTGATATTGGTTCATACTGCGAAGTGACCCCGAAACGATTTACGAAACGCTCTGTTAGAACCGTTCAAAATTTTCGGAAGTGAAAATTCCTTTTTTCTTTCTTCAGCAGATTGATATACGGTCGTGTGAAGTACCTCAAAATGGGCGGAAGGCGACTATGGGTAAGCTGAAGGATTTTCCAATCGAATGTTCTGGATCAAATAAATTTGGTTCTTTTGTTCATCCGCATTGAATTTCGAACGCGGTTTTTGCTCGTCGACAGCAGGAGTATGGGTGTGAACGCAACGCCGCGTATGTGTTGTGTAACAGCTAAATTTGAATTCATATTGTCTTTTGTAGATGTCGCTTGCAACGTTGGCGCTGTTGGCAGTGGTATGCGCATGCGCTTCTGAAGTTGGCCACGGAAAGGATGCGCTTGTCAGATACCGTCGTCAATCTGGTGGTGGTCGACCTGGAGGTGGTGGAGGAGGACGTCCTGGAGGAGGTGGTGGTGGAGGAGGAGGACGTCCAGGAGGTGGTGGATCAGGTCAAGGCAATGGTGGATTTGGCGGAGGAGGAAGTGGTGGACCAGGGAATGGTGGCTTTGGAGGTGGTGGAGGACGTCCAGGTGGAGGTGGACCAGGACAAGGCAATGGCGGATTTGGAGGAGGACCAGGACAAGGAAATGGTGGATTTGGAGGACCAGGGGGAGGTCACGGCGGTGGATTTGGAGGACCAGGTGGAGGTCATGGCGGTGATTTTGGAGGTCATGGGGGTCATGGTCATGGGCATGGACACGGTCATGGTCATGAACATGGACACGGTCATGGTCATGGACATGGACACGGTCATGGTCATGGTCCTGGAGGAAGACCTGGGTTTGGAGGTCCTGGCAGACCAGGGCCAGGATTTGGAGGACCTGGCAGACCTGGGGTGGCACCCGGAAGACCTGGTGGCCTCTCTATCACTGGACC